ACAGCAATACAAATAATAAATAAAAAGTAATAATACATTATATATGATCAGTAATACCTACTTTATACCCTGCTTTTTTTTCAAAGACACACTGCACCCCAGCAAATACTTGAAAAAATATGGTAACAAAGTTACCAAAGTTGCAAGACAAATGCAATTTGTTTGATGCAAATATTTAACCTTAAGGTTCAATTGGCTGGGAAACTCATTAATGGTATTGCTTCACCAGCACTGAAACAAACACAGACCAGACAGATGGAACCAGTTCATGCACAGCCTTAGGAGTCTAGCAGAAACTGGGAGGAAACATCTGTGTAGAAACCAAGGCAGTGAATCCATGAACAGTTTCTCATCTCCACCATCTATTTTCATGCTAAAAGGGACTAGAGAGGGGAATAGAATTCCAGTGTTATTTTCTTTTTGTGTGTGTGTTGGCCTTTTCATTTGGAAAAACAAATAAAAGGAAATAGATAAGGTAGACAAATTGTCATGAAACGTTTCATATATCCCCTATGGCTATCGAATTTTTCCCAAATGACTGCTGTACGAAATTAAAAAAAAAATAAAAAAATAAAATAAAGACTGGGATTTGAGAAAAAAATTATAAATTAAAAAGGAGACATTTAACAGAGTTTCCTAAGGGTTTCCCTCCCCACTCTGCAGCAAAGAGAGCAAAAATACAATCCAAAAGAGGAGAGAAGAAGTCAGAGGGGAATAGGAAGTCCAGTCTTTCAGCCTGTCTCCTGTTTTGCTAAATTTTACAGTAGGTTATTGAAGAAGCGGTAGATGTTCCGATAGAAAGCAGGCAGCAGCAAACACAGGCATCGTCTCCTCCTTCCAGCAGGGTCTGTGCAATCTCAGTCTCTTGCTCCAGGAAGGAGAGGTTTTCCTTCCCACACTTGTTCCTGCTTTCCAGTGTGGGAGAGGGGAGAAGCGTCTGCCAGAGATCGGGGTCTGGCATTTCAGAGGCTCCTCTCCCTCCACTGGGCTAAAAGGAACTCAAGTATTCCAGTGCAACCTCGTATACAAATTTATACTGTTCCTGAAAGTGAGAACAGAAATCAGTGGCATACAGGTAAATTCTTCAGAACCTCGTTCTACCACCTGACAAAATTACCTCCTCCCTCTTCCTTATAACATTTGGCAGGATCAGGCAAATATTTATTGCCTTTCTATATGATCCTGAACAAGCATCACTAAGAGACAGTATTTTCAATGGAAGAGAAAAACACCCACAGAGACAGGCACAGTATGGACTATTCATTATTTGCTTCAAGCCTTCACTGCACACATTGCTTTTGAGGAAAGAATTCAGTCTGATCGATTGAGATGATTGAATTCAGGCCAGTTTAATCTTTTTGGTTGCATGGAACAAGGCCTGGGGTTCAGACTGTTCTCCTTTCCTGCTTTCAAGGTATGGCACAGCATTAAGCACCAGGCTGTAGGAATGCACAGGAGGACAAATCCCACACCCTCTCCACAGCCAAGGTGGCAGCTACTCAGGTTTTAAGCTCCTGGAGGCAGCTAGGTGTGGGAGAGTGTTCATCCCACTGCCAGGGCTGCTGTTCCCCCTCTGCTCAAGGAGAGAAGCAGTGAGGCCAGAGGATTCATTGCATGTTCTAAAATGACTGGTTTTAATCCTGATGCCCTTACATGATGATTGTTTTTATTCATACTGAGCTAAACCATGGAATTTTTTCTTCCCATCCTAAAATTCTCACTGCCTACACTGGGTAGGGTAAAGAGCAGAAAAAAACCCAACCAACCAAACAAAAAAAACCCCCAAACCCCCCAGAAACCAAAACCCAACAACTTACCAGTGACTCCACCATGTTGGATTTGTTATTCCGTAACGTTTTGACTATGTGGAACACATCAATGATATTTTGCTGTTGAATCATTTCACACACGCTGCAGATGGCACAAAAGGTGCCGCTGCGTCCCCCACCATTCCTGGGAGCAGAAGAAAAGAGGCATCAGGTGAAGCTGGGCAAGGTGGAGGGAAGGGAGGAGAGCACACAGCAGCCGACACATCATGTATCTGTAATGTAAGGCCTGGCTAAGGACATCCAAGGGTTTGTGAAAGGACCTGAAGGGCAGGAGACGAAGGATGGAAGGGCTGAGCTGATCCCTGGCAGTGGTGGAAAGGGAAGCCCCAGGGACTGCAGTGCTGCTCCTCAGTGCTCTGGGGCTCACAGCAGCTCTGTGGTCAGTTAGACATGTGACAGTGCAGCTTTGGTTGTGTATGAGCTCCAGTCATGGGACCTATCTACACAAAAGGAAGTAGCAGGGCTTTTTCAGCTTCTCTTCACCACAATCAGTAAAATCTCTGGGCCAGGATGCTATAATCACAGAACGGTTTGGGTGGGAAGGGACCTTTCAAGGTCTATCTAGTCCAACCCCCCTGCAGTGATCAGGGACATCTTCAACCAGATCAGGTTGCTCAGAGCCCCGTCCAACCTGACCTTGAATGTTTCCAGGGATGCTTTTTTAGTTTAAAACCATCACCCCTTGTCCCAGGGTTTCAGCACTCTCATTGTAATAGATTTCTTCCTTATATCTAGTTTGAATCTCCCCTTTTTTAGTTTAAAACCATCACCCCTTGTCCTATCGCTTCAGGCGCTGCTAAAATGTCTGTTCCCATTTTTCTTACCAGCCCCCTTTATGTACTGAAAGGCTGCAATAAGGTCTCCCTAGAGCCTTCTCTTCTCCAGGCTGAACAACCCCAACTCTCTCAGTCTCTCTCCACAGCAGAGCTGTTCCATCCCTCTGATCATGTTTGTGGCCTCCTCTGGACCCGCTCCAACAGGTCCATGTTTTTCCTGTGCTGAGGACCCCAGAACTGGAGGCAGCACTGCAGGTGGGGTCTCAGGAGAGTGGAGCAGAGGGGCAGAATCCCCTCCCTCGCACAATATTCAACTCAAAGTGTATTACAAAAGTAATTTAGCTTAATTTTCCCCAGCTGAAGCCTGGCAAACCACCAAATTTCCAGATCCATAATCAGTGCTCTTCAGACAGCATTTCATGAGGTCACAGGCATTTTCCAGTCCTACTTACAGGCAGTGGACAACAGTCCGTCCGTCTCTCCCATCGTACTGTTCCTGCCACTTCTCCAACCTCCTGACCACCTTCAGGAGGGAGCGTTTGGAAGGCGGGGTGTCCCTGTATGCTGGCCAGCCAATGTACTGCAGGTGCTGAACGATGCGATACCCATCCTGAGGCTGAAACATAGAGCATTTCTAAGGGGCTAAGTGGAATGGGGCAGCAAGCAGGGAGGTGGGGTAAAGCAGGGGGCACTGGTTACATGGCATCATCCCTTCTGGATCTGGTATCATCAGTGTTAACATCCTCCACTCTGGATACCTGATACAGTGGGGAAACAAGGACTTTTGGGTAACGTGGGTAACAATAATGTTGTCAGATATTACAGAAACTAGGTGCACAGGATCCCTTGTTTTGTTTCCAGCAGCAAATAAAGTCTCATCAAACTGTATGAATAGATCAAATGTCTCTTTCCTGGTTGCCTCTGCTGGAGATTAGTTGTGTCATAAGAGCTAAGGGCAAATAAGCCCTCATAAATAAAGAAAGAAATAAATAAATCTCTGGGTCTGTGGCAGGAAAGGGTCCTCAAAAATATTTTGGCAGCAGGCACTGATGTTGAACACAGAGGGGTTCAGAGAGCAGTGAGCTCACAGCATCCACCCTGGCAGCCATGCATTTACGAGCCAGCTTCATCCTCAGAGTCACAGAGCTTTAGTCTTATCAGCTCCATGACTTCAAGCTGTCCCTGGTTCTGAGGCAGCTGGCCTGGGATGTAGGAAGGTGAGTATCTAACTGATTTATCAGTTTGTGCAGTTGGATCACAAGGTTCATTCTGCAATGCGTGACTGAATGGCTGCACATGTTCTAACCACACAATCGGAGAATGATGCGTTAAACAGCATGGAAATGTAATTTATGAACCCTGTTTCCATTTCTGATTAGAAAAAAAAAATAAAAAAGGAACACAAAAGGAGACATAATCAATCTGGGAAACAACTAATGACAGAAAGAATCTTCTACTGAAACCCTTTCCTGCAGCCCTGAAGTTGCATTGCCAGGGTCCAGGGTGTAGATAAACTTTGTTTCTGTCATTTCAGCTGTCCTAGGGCTGAGGAATACAGACAAAGAGTTGCTTATAAAAATGGCAGTTGCTTATTTATAGGAAAAACACTGTCAATTGGGAATCCCAGTCCAGCCAGTAAACATTGCATCTGTCTTCAGAGACGCAGCATGGTAGTTGACAGATGGAAAGCTGCTGACACTATCCCAGTTTATTTCCTATGGTACTGATGGTTTTATACTGGCTACTAGGTGATTAATTGTTCTCAAATATACACAGAAAAGTGCTTTCCATTTAAATACAGATTTTCAGCTCATGTCATCCACTTTTTCAGCCAAGAGTCTTTTACAAAATTAAATGTTAATTAGAGGCAGCAGCTACTAAATTCTGCAGTGGAATTTTGTTCCCAGGTAAGAGATTCAGCATCTGTAAACCACAAGTCTTGGTTCTGCCTCTTCCTCGTGCCAACATATATTTTTAAGAATAAACAGGGAATCTGGTATTTCACTGATCTTACCCTGGCCATGTTGCAGATCCGGAATATCCGGTTGATGATATCTTCATCAATATCTGCTGAAACAAACTCGACTTGAATTGGGCCATAACAACAGGATGTCTTCTCTGGCCAGTACTGCATGCAGAGCTGGAGAAAACACCAAAAGAAACAGAAAGCACCTTAACTCATAATAAAGGAAATGCATCTTCAGTTCTCTTTCCTTTTGAATCTCTAACCAGCTCAAAATCCATAACCAATCTTGTATCACATGTATTTGCTCAGAGAAGACCTTCTTCTAACTCAGTAAAAGTTTTTTATATCACAGAATCACAGAATGTCAGGGATTGGAAGGGACCTCAAAAGATCATCCAGTCCAACCCCCCTGCCAGAGCAGGAACCTAAATGAGATCACACAGGAAGGCGTCCAGGCGGGTTTTGAATGTCTCCAGAGAAGGAGACTCCACACCCTCCCTGGGCAGCCTGTCCCAGGGCTCTGTCACCCTCACTGTAAAGAAGTTTCTTCTCAAGTTTATGCAGAACCTCCTGTGTTCCAGCTCACACCCATTGCCCCTTGTCCTACCATTGGGCATCACTGAGAAGAGCCTGGCTCCATCCTCCTGACATTCGCCCTTAACATATTTATAAACATTAATGAGGTCTCCCCTCAGTCTCCTCTTCTCCAAGCTAAAGAGCCCCAGCTCCCTCAGCCTTTCCTCAGCAGGGAGATGCTCCACTCCCTTCATCATCTTGGTGGCTCTGTGCTGGACTCTCTCCAGCAGTTCCCTGTCCTTCTTGAACTGTGGGGCCCAGAACTGGACACAATATTCCAGATGTTTCAGAAGCCTGAAGGTTTTTTGTTTGGTTGGGTTTTTTTTTGTACGAACGCAATTTTTAACTGGTTGAATTCTGGGGTCTAAAAGTACAGAAAAGGTGGCTGACAAACGAAGCTTCTGTAGGGGTATAGATTTAAAATGAACATTAAAAGATCAGTGTCTGTAGGTAAATTTAATCAGAACCACAGAGGTTTGGTGTTAATGAGGAAACAGTACACAGACCAAGAAAATTAATCTTAATTCAAGCAAAGTGGAATTTTTTTTTTTTTTTTTTATTTTGGTAAGATTAACTTTTTAACTTTCTGACTCTGCCAACAAGCAGGTGAGGAAGAATGCGTTAGCTCTGAGAACAGCGAGAGCAACTCCAATTTTAGGGTGAACTACAACTGAATCTCTGAAGTTTGTGAAGCAGGTTGGAAGTCTTTTTTCTTATGCTGATGTTACTGAATCCAGAGTACAAAAAAAAAATCCTATCCACACAAATTACAATCTAAGTATTTCAAATCCATCTGGAAATAGATCATGGCGAGAAAATATTTTGCATGAGATCTCATTAGCAGTTCCTGCTGAGATTGTACTTCTTTCTGTTTTTTTCTTCCCATTTTCAAGTGTAATTTTTTAGAAGTTTTGAAACCCCCAGATGCTCATTTGAACTTGATCTCAAGCTTTTCAAGTTCAATCATTGCCAGTAATAACGTCAAGTGTGTGCACGCTACTGCATTAATTCTGTATTCCTGTTATTCCTTTGATCATATGGGATTGAAATTGGGTGGGATATTCACTCAATCTTATGCATCTTTGCCCTTGTTAGTTTTTCAAGATTAAGCAAGCCAGCCAAGACCACATAAGCAAGTCCTCCTTTGAAGGTTGTCTTTACTCTTCATTCAGACTTTCAAGAAGCCTACAGATCTCTCAGAGCATCTGTCCAATAGGCAAGGAGATCTGAGCTGAGCAGTTGCTTTAGGCAACAATCTCAAGGTGCACTGGAAAGAAGAAAAAGATTAAACCTCCCCTTAATATTGAAAATCTGCTTTCCATAAAGCAGGTCTGTGAACCGCCATCTACCCAGAGGTATTTGTACATACAGTGCTTAAAATTGTCTGTTAAGTTCTCTGCCCTACACATGGTTTTATTTGCACCTTTTCTCTGCATAGTGGACTAAAGCTTCACTTACCTGTTCATTTTAAGTCTTTTCCTCTCTACAGTTCAGGCACAGATTTTATATAAGCAATTTTTGCATTTGTGTTCTACTCATGGAGATGAGCAACACAACTCATCTGCAAGCAACTGTGCACCAGCAGTTTCACAGTGCTTCGGGTACAGCGCTTGGATCAGGTAATGATGAACAGGTAGATAATTACAACATGGTCATACAATGACAGTGCAAGCACAACATTGTTAAGTTTGCTTTTCAGAAACCTTTCACAACTGATCTGTTGGACCGTAGGAAGACTCTGCAGAGAGATCTGGACAGGCTGGATCGATGGGCCAAGGCCAACTGTATGTGATTCGACAAGGCCAAGTGCTGGGTCCTGCACTTGGGTCACAACAACCTCATGGCTTGGGGAGGAGTGGCTGGAGAGCTGCCCGGTGGAAAAGGACCTGGAGATGTTGGTTGGTAGCCAGCTGAATATGATCCAGCAGTGTGCCCAGGTGGTCAAGGCTGCCAGCTGTATCCTGGCTTGTAACAGAACTAGCACGGCCAGTAGGACCAGGGCAGTGATTGTCCCCCTGTACTGGGCACTGGTGAGGCCGCACCTCAAACTCTGTGTTCAGTTTTGGGCCAAGAAGGACATGGAGGTGCTGGAGTGTGTCCAGAGAAGGACAACGGAGCTGGGGAAGGGTCTGGAACACAAGTGTGATGAAGAGCAGCTGAGAGAACGGAGTAGAGACTTTCTCACTCCTTACAACTGTAGTGAGCTGGGGGTTGGTCTCTTCTCCCACATAAAAAGTGACAGGACAAGAGGAAATGGCCTCAAGTTGTGCCAGGGAGGTTTAGATTGGATATTAGGAAAAATTTCTTCACCAAAAGGTTTATCAGGCACTGGAACAGGCTGTCCAGGGCAGTGGTGGAGTCCTCATCCCTGGAGGTACTTAAAAGATGTGTAGATGACACTTAAGGACATGGTTTAGTGGGACTTGACAATGTTAGGTTTATGGTTGGACTTGATGATCTTAAGAATCTTTTCCAACTTAAACATTTCTATGATTCTCTGCTATCAAGCTGACAAGAGCTTTCAAACTTCAAAAGAATCCTTAACTTCCAGTGCTAGCTGGGTGGTTTTGCCATTGGCTATAGACTTGAGCTAGGCTACAAAATGCTAGAATAACCTTCAAAGTGACTTTATGCATTGCCAGATTTTTTTCTGTGCCTACAGACTACCTCATAAAAACAAAACTTGGCTAGGAAAAAACAAAGCAGGTAAAGTCTTGTGCAGAAAGACAGAGGCAAGAATAACACTGGCTGAGGCTGATAGGTTTGTGTTTTCCAGGAATGAAGTGTGAGAAAGTGTGTAATTTCCACAAAAAAGCTGTGTTTTTCTTTAAAGTGTCAGAAAAAAGAGGCAAAGATCAAATTTGCATCTGGATTCAATGCCAAGACGCAGAATCAGGCAGAGCGAATTGGACAGGAGGCAGCGAATGCACAGGACCTCCAGATCCTCACACAGTGGTGGGACTCTGCGGGTCATGAAGAGAACCCGCTTCTGAGTAGAGCTCTTACTGTGGCTGGAAATGAAATCCCGTAGTGTTCACCCTGAAAGGAGATCCCCTCAGTGAATGGGGTGACTAGTTTCTCCATTACCATCAAAAAAAGAGACCAATAATCTCAGTGCCTTCACATGTAGCAAGATTTTGAAGACAGAGAAGAGACAAATGAAAAATTAATCCATGAAGTACCCACTACCTGAGGGTTCCTCTCCTCTTGTCTAACAAGAGCTGTAATGGGTGAATTAACCATGCCAAATGTACTCTTCACACAAATTGCATGATTATGCCTTTTTGAAAGCTGTTATCTTCTGCCACTCATCAGCAAGGTGGTTGGAAATGCTGGTACAGGAGGAACTGCAACAGCTCCTCCCCCAGCAAGCTCAACTGCTGAAAATAATGGTGTGTTTAGTAGCCAAGAAACCAACTTACACATGACACTAGAAAGAAAAAAAACCAAACATACACAGGACAATGTGCTTCTCCATAAACTGTGCAAACACTTCTCAGAATTACAGAACTGCATCGGAAATCTCAGGGAAAAGACCCATCAAATTATTTCAGAAAACCTCTTGGTTTTATTCTTCTGTAAATGCAATGTGAACAGGCAAGCATGAAGCACACGGGGGCTGGGGTATGGAGTATTTTTGTGAACCAAAGACAGACATAAATATGAAAGGGGAGAAAGCAGTTTTGGAAGGAAGATTCAGGCCAACAAACACAATGTATTTAGATACCCCTGCTAACTGCAGTAAGAATTAGTTGCCTTAGAAGGAGCCAAGCATGTGGACTTACTCTTCATTATATTCTAAAACATTACCTATTACTTTCCAATTCCCCTTCATTCATTTATTGGGATGGGGAGTCACTAGAAGATGGCAGCAGAAACACTCTTAAAACCATCTGAATTTGAGAAGAAAGTTACAGGACAGAAAAGATGAAAAATCCCTTACCTGTGCTGCATCCATCTCATTCAGCATCACGACAGAGGAGCAGTTATAATCAAACACCAGCCTCCAGAAGTCTGCTACGGTGTTGGGCAAAGGGTGTTGGGTTACAATAAAGGCAGCAGGTTGCTTGTGGCTCTAACAAAAGAATAAGATTAGTTAAAAAAAAGAAAAAAAAAGAATTCAATCAACTTTTATTCAAAGGAATATTATACCCAGGAGGCTATGGCTAGGCAATCTGAGCCATTTAACCAGATTATACAAATCACATATCCTTCTCCTTGTTATCGCTCTGCAATGAATGAATGTCTCATAATGGGATTCTTTTCCTCCCAATGAAGACATTTCATTAAAGAAGTGTCACAAGAGCAGAGATTACCCAAATCAATTATTTATATTTTGAGACTCAGCAAATAATACTAATTCTACTATTACTACTACTACTACTACTATCAGTAATATTAATAATTGGAAAGAAAACAGCTGGAAGCAAATGTCATCCTTTTTGCTGCAACGGACTCCAGGAAGTTCAGAAGGGATTAGCCCCCCGCATCTGCTATTGCTCCCTGGTGATGTAGTGCTACAGAGGTGGCGCTTTTGGATCCCAGCCACCCTTTAAGAGCCTGCAACACCGGTGTGTAATTTCTGATGCTATTCTTTCACTTCAAAAAAAGCCTTCTGACCTCAATCTCCCTAACCACGAAGGGGAGAAACTGTGCTCCCAGCCTCTACGGGACTGTGCTAATGAATGTTTGCAAGGCACTTTGAGATGAAAGGGTACAAGCTCCAGACTTTATCGCTTTCCAACTGTGGCAGGCAAGGCTTAGATAAGCCTACCAACTGCACAGTCCTTTCTGCTCTACATCTGCAAAGCAAAACTGAATAAGAAGGCACAATATTTCTGAGTTTAAAAACAAAACAAAACAAAAACAAATTAAGATTTTGTGTTTAAAGTAAAGAAATAACATCCCAAAGTATTAAGATGGTTGCTGTGGAGGCCTGCCTTTTCTCCTCCACCTGAGTCAGGTGTGGGTGGAAGCGCTGAGCAGACCATGCTAGGAGGGGAAGAAGGTGCTGTGCAGACTCTGCACCAGCTTGCAGGGAGGCTGCACCATGCTTCTGAGTGTGCACGTGTGAGGAGGGTGATGGGACATGAAGCAGAAAGAAGGAAAAGGAAATGATTTATTGGGAAAAGATCAGTTTGGAAAGGATTTTCATCTTTCCCTCTACTCTGTATTTCAAACCTAGCAGCACCAATATGGGTCAAAAACTATGTTGTAGCAGACCAATGGTGGCAACAGGGTGGTAAATAAAATCACAGAATCTTCTCTCTTAATTAGAGTTAAGAACATTCTAATGTTTCTGCTATGCTTTTTTCATTGTGCACCAATACAGCAGATTGCATAACTGCCTAAACCACTGGCTGAAGGTAAGATGTGTTTGTGAGTCCTGTCATTAGGAGAAAAAAGAAACATGCCCCATCTGTTTTCTTTGCTACAGGTGAGAAACCAGGTTCACTGTCCTTTTTTAAAGGGAAAGTGACACAAGAGATGTTAATTATTCATGTAAGAGAACATGTGTAGGATCTTGGGGGAATGATGATGATAGAGACATGACATGGACTCATGTCTTTCTCCAAGCCCCATGCATTAAATACAAACCTATTGCCACTTCGGTATGGCTTGACTCAGAGATGTGGCTAAAGTCTCTTTGCTTAAGGTTATGTTCAATTGTTTTAGGGGAAGGTGAGAGACAGCAACACCATAATCTTTATTAAAAAAAAAGTAAAATTAATTCTATGACCATGTGACTTAACCACTTAAACGCAGCAGCATCACCGTTTCCCAAAGACTGAAAGAACAGACAAAAGTAAAAAGACCAATCCCAACATTGCTAGGGAAAAAAGGATGACATTTCACCCTGCATCATATTTACACATACTCCAACTGCAATAATTAGTGGCTTTAAAGACATCTCTGTCCAAAGGCAGTTATGCACTACAGCAAAAAGAAACCATCGACATAATTCACCCTGTACAAATGACCTGTGCTGTGAGATTCTAGCCTATAAACAAAGCAAGGGAAAATGCCTTCAGACAGATTCACATCAGCTTAACTCATGTCCTTCAAGCCTTTGAGTATTTTGCACATCTGATCCCTGGACTCCCATACTCTTAACTGCATAAACTCAAATAAATCACTTGCTCCACACTGCAAACTATTCTTTTCAAAGAGCTGACCTGGCAAACATTTCTCTTCCAACCTATACAACAACCAACATATGGGAAGAGCTGTCCCACCATTTTGTCCATCTGCCTTTCTACAATACAACCTCAGACTGCACGCTCATGAATTTCTTTGTCAAAAAAATTTCCAACAACATGAGGCAGAACTACAGTTGTAGTGTGATCATTACAGTCTAGGTGACACATTTCTGTGAAAGAGAGAAAATCAATGTGCCTTTGCCCAGTTTGGAGATGTCAGACCCAGAAACTACAGGTAAAAAAGTTTTTTTGCTTTGGATCTCTTTCTCTCAGAAAAGTATCCTGAGAACAAATAAACTCAATGCAGACAAGGATCACTGAGGACAGTGCAGTGCTGCTTACATCCATGAGTGCAGCATTGATGTAGTTACTTGATTCACCATCCACGGAGATGAGGAAGGGTAGGCACCGGTCCAAGGGCAACACATCCATGCAGCGGTTCTTGTCGTGGTTCCTTGGCAAAAGACCAATGCTGCAATCTTCTGGCCGAACACGCGGTGTCACAATATTGAGAGTCTGTGAAGGGGGAAGGGAAAAAGAGAAAGACAGACAGAAGCAGGCTGAGCGTCTTTGAATTTACTTCCAAGTAGGATGCCATCTGAACAACACGTTTATTTCAAAGGTACTTAGACTATTAGATCTTTGAAATGAAACTGGAGGAGCACTGAGGAGCTGCTTGCTGTCATAATACATCACATTTTGCACATCATCCTGAGGTGCTCTTCTGAACTCATAAGCTCCAGCATAAGTTGAGGGCATTTCACACCTACTAACAGTTTCCAGCTCTAAAACCCCACAGCAGTTAGATAAAATTGCTGTTCTTTTCTAGAAGTTGGCAATAGCTGACACAGGTACAAGTTGCCACTTTGACCTGGTCATGGAGTGAAACCTCCTCGTGTTTCTACCACCGCTAGGGTGGAAGTAGCATCCTTTTCTCTCTCTGAGTGACTCATGTGCAGAAGTACCCAGAGTATTGACCTGGCTTGCCCAGGAGGTCAGACCGGGTTCAAAATCTCTGATGACTCCTCAGTCAAACTACTGATTTATCTTAACAATGTATGTAAAAACCTATGGGAAAATGTTGTGGGGTTTTGTTGTTGGTTCTTTTGTGGTGCTTTTTGTTGTTGTTTTTTTGTTTGTTTGTTTGTTTGGTTGGTTTTGTTGTTTTTTTGGGTTGGTTTTTTTTTTTTTTCATTTTCTTCAAATGTGATATCTGTTTCTTGCTACTTCCCTTTTGGAGTGACACATATGATGCTTCAGATACATAATCACACCTTATTTCTGGGGTCTTGCTGTCAGTCTTTTACTGTTACCCCTCTTTCCTGCTGCTGGACAGACTGTGTTTCTTTAAATCTAATTTCCTTTATTGTTATCCATTACAGAGGCCTCCTGACAAACCAGTTCAGGTTCGTCAGCAAGGATCAAACACAGCAAATCAAAGTGAACGCATCTTAACGTTGTCACTTAAGTCATGGTAGGTCAGTGGTAGATGTCATTCTACTTTCACTTGTTATACGTCCTCTTCCTGAGCAAAGCCCATGCAGTCATACAGTGAATTTCTTTGCCATCAAGAGGAACACAAAATATTTAGAGGCTAAAAATTCTTACAAAGAGCTTGACTTCTGCCACAGAGAGGTCACGGAGAAAAGAGGAGAGTTAAACAATCTGAGATAAAGGAATGTGTCAAAGTATAAAATTTGAAATAATATAGATGCTCTAAATTATGCAGGCTCTACACAAAAGTCTCTTTGTCTAGAGATGGAAAGTAGGCAGTCTGGCTGGGGAAGCAACCCGAAATCTCATATCTTTGACAGTGCAGATAATTAGGCAGGTAACTCCCTTGTTTTTGTACTTATTCAGATTACAAAGACTCTCCAGGATGTGCTTTTGCAGGTTCAGACAACATGTAGCACCTGAGAAATACACCCAGACTTACCCAAGGGCCAGTGGGACCTAAATAATACAAATTGCACCAACAGTTCTACAGTCAGATCAACCGGTTCATAAAGATTGTAGCAAAAGATACTCCCTTTTGCATTAAATACAGACACGGCTGAAGAATGCTCTGAGCCAAAATCCTCTAAAAATAGATTCTACAACTAGACAGGGAATGAAACTCTTATGCAAAGTACAGTGGAGCATTTCCTTCCCACAGGAGTTGCCAGGCCCTGGCAGCTCAGAAGAACAAGCATGGAGACAACAAATCTCATCTCGTATCATGACAAAACAGGCCCACAGCAAGTGGTGACTTTCTTTTAGTAGCATAACAGCATTTGATGCAGTTAGGCTTTGGATCTTTCATGCCAAGCATCCAGAACCAGAAACACTTTTACAGATCTGGTATCACTTGATAAAACCAGATCCTTTTTTAATTGAACTGTCATCAGTTGGGATCCACATTCTTTATCTCACTATACCAACCCTGATGATTCCCTGTAAGGTTTCAGATAAAAACCACACATTCTCCCTTTGCATGGAAAGGGAGGAAAAGAGGCATCTGACTCAGATTGGGGCTCCAAAAAGACATTTTCCTGCTGGAAAAAGATATTTTGCCCGGAAAGGGGGTGGGTATTTCCTATAATTAAAGGAATTTCCACCTTGTTACTGCTGACTGAGAAGAATGGCCTCTTAACAAATACCAGAGGTCTCTCTCTCTTTCCCATCTAACTCACCTTGCCCAGATTTCCCACAATATTATGTTTTTCCATACATCAGTGTCAGCTGAAAATCCTAAAGGGACTTACAGATACATGGGGAATAAGCATGGAGAGCTGAGTTCACTGTTCTGTAGGGCAAGTTCTCTACTGTGCAAGAGTTCCAACTGCACAGGGTTCGTGGCTCTTGTGTCCCAAGCCCATTTATTAGGGTGGGATAAGCGATGGTGATAGCAAAAGGTAGAGTGGTCCCTCATTTCATCACTTGCCCCAGGTCAATGGTGCTATGCCAGCACTTCTGAATTTTACTGTATGTCGTTTGAGTTCTCACCACCAGGTAAGTGGCAAAACACACGCAGGGAACCAAGGGATTCAGTTCAACGAAAAATAGTGATAGAGAAAGTAATGCTCACTGAGCTCACTTTTTCCTATTGTATGAAAGGATGTCAACAAGTTCACTGTCCAGACTCAGAAGCAGAATATGAGCCACGAGAATGGATAATAAGGGACCTTGAAGCATAAATGTTTTTGCATAAATTACAGAAGAAAATGAACAGCAGAGTATTTCTTGAAATGAGAAGTACAACATTATCTATGAAAATTAGTACCCTTACTACTGAAGTGATAGGGAATTTTTTCCTTGCTGAAGGCTGAAAAGTCCATGCTTAAAAACAAATCTCTGCTTGATCCAGTAGGAAAACAACAAATATCAGCTCAAATCAGACCTTGGCTCAATGTGTCCCTTCTCTGCTCTGTTGGAAATCATAAAATAACACAAAGAAGTTGATTAAACACTTTCTGCAATGACTGAGACACATGAAATTACCTGAAACTCATCTTTTATCTGGCTGGAATTCGTCTGTGGATCTAGTCTGCTGATGTTGTAATATATGGATCTGAACTCACAAACTGGAATGGCCGTGTTGCCACAAAGACATGCCTCCAAAATGGCATCATGGACAAATACATACTGCTCCTGCACAGGGAAGGATAAGATATTAAAATCGTACTTTTAACACAGTTCATGAAACACCACAAGGCTTTTTTTTTTTTTTTTTTTTTTTTCTTAAATCATGCCCAATATGCATATCTGGCTCTGTTTCATGTGGAGACAAATTACACAGTGTGTTATGTGACAGTTTTGTAAGCATATTTAATCCATCTTTGAATGTGAGTTCTCATGTAGTCATTTCAAATTTACAAGTAAAATGGGAAGTCACCACTCTCAGGAATGCTAGGAGAAAATGAGGGTGGGCTGAGGAGGAAATCAGGATGTAAAGCTTTTCTGTTCACAATCATGAGGTGATGGTCAGGAATGGATTGTGCTTCGGACCTATGATAACACCAGCAGAAACAATTGTACTAACAGATCTGTTCCATCTGTCTCTTCAAAACTTCTGATATTCTGGGTAAAGTTCTTTCCCTGAACTAAATATGAAAAAGTCCAACAAAGTTAAAAGCTCTTCTCTGTTCCAGGCTATTGTCCTGTCCCTCAGGAGGGGAAGGCATTGAAGAACATAGGAAAAATCTGTGTAGCAGAATAACAGTTCCATAGATGTTCATGCAGCTGCTACACACCACGTGATGGAGCAGCTTGCTTAATCAGCACCCAAAGCTTGAATCAAGGATATTTAATTTGGTGAGCTCACAACTGATGTAACCTAGGTACTATTCGAGTCTGCAGTATACCTATGAAAGAGTCATGAGAGGATTCAGGAGCTAGCTTTTTCCTGCTGTGAGAATAAAATTAATCAGCAGTGCTAAGACCCAAGCTTCAAGGTTTGCCGTCCTGTCTTGGAGGCCCTGAGTAGCTGCCAGTGAATGTGACTCAGTGCACATGTGGTCATGTTTAGCCACCGAAAGGTCTGTATAATCACATCATGCAGGAAGCAAGTGTTGACTTAATGAATTGCCAGGCTCCTGTTGAGCAGAGAAGCTGACAGAAAAGCAGTACATCGTAAGAGGAGACCTGCTGGCACCTACCTCCGTCTGCACCAGATTGACCCTTTGGGATCGCAGCTCTCGCACACAGTTAAATATATCTACCACGCCTTCGTTCTCTGCCATGTCAAGCATGATGTCGATGGCAATAAAGCACCCTGTTCTCCCAGCCCCAGCACTAAAAAAAAAGAAAAAACAATGAGGGTCTGCATGATCAAGGGACCGTGGAGGGGCTGGGCTTTATGGAGCAGAAAATAACTGTATCACAGACACAGCTGTCTTCTCTTGGAAGCTGCTCCCCTCTCCCTAATGGATTGACTTTTGTGTGTAGCTAAATTAGCTTAGGATTTAAGAGAATGAAGCAAAATAATATTTCTTGAAAGAGAAATCGACTGAGGTAGCAGGAAAAAAAAGCTTTGTGTTCTTGAACATCAACAAAAAAATTACTGTATGAAAATAATAATTATTATTGTACAGGTTGGTTCACCTGCACACCTCCCATCACACAGGATGTAGGAGAGCAGCCTCCAGGTTGCAAATAAACACAATTCCAGAATTTTTTTTTCCATGGGACTCTTCAAAAGGCATGTACACATTTACTCAAGTGGGCATGATGAAAGGGGCTCAGTGCTCCACCTCAAACACTTCTTTTCTCTTTTAAATCTAGGGGAGTTTGGGTCCCAAGGAGGGTGATCTCAAGTTGTAGATTGTAAAATTATAGAGAAAAGAGCTCGAGGTTACCCAAAACCTCCAGTTTAGAGTCCCCCACTGCTTGCAAGAATTGGATCATCTGTAAAACTGTGTTGTCACTGTGTCCACCTTCCCTCCTGGGAAATCATCCAAGCTGTTTAGGTGTGAAGGATAGAGAGAGCAGAACGTCTCCTCACATCACTCTGAACGAAGAAGGAAAACTCAGCTCAAATCAGGGAAACTTCAGCTGCATGAAAACTCCAGCAGAGCCGAAAGCAAGGAGATATGAATGACCATAAATTAATGGACCAGATTAATCAACTGTTGAATAGAGAGAAGATATTTTTCATTTGCAGAATTTTAATGAATAAGTGGCATTTCCTCTCCCTTTATCTCTCAGCTTTTCAGAATTTTAACAAATAGTTATAACATTTCTATATTTAGAGGATCCTGGCACTTCATAAATATCGAACTGTGGCATTATCCAGCCAGGCATCGGTAGGGAGAATTTGGTAATTACCACTTAAAGCAAGTCATTAAAATTCAAAAGCAGATAAATAAGGGAGAAGAAATGGCATTTATTCATTAAAATGTGAAGGATGAAAAATTTCTCCTTGCTTTCTTGGTGACAATGAATCAGGTCTAGAATCCTTCCAGGGCTAGACCCATGTCATGGCACCAAGGTTGCAAATTCAGGCCCTGAGCTCTGAATTAATTCCCTTCTGCCAGCTCCTTGGGCTTAGATGGTTTTTTATTATAAAACTGGTTCATTGTTTGCTAAAAAAAATCCCAACAAAACAAAACACTGTCCCAACCCAAAACTGTTTTTAAAAGGTGAGATTTAATTAATTTTTCCTTTTTAAAGTGGTTGTGGGATGTATTCTCTCTCTCTTCCCGATCACACAGCATGGCACTTAGAAGTATTTGCCTGTGGATTGATTAGGGGTGAGATTTTGGGGATAGCCAGCTCTGCTCGCAAGCCTTCTGCTCCAGGCATGTCTGCTTTATAGAACATGTTCCCTGACCTGTGGCCTGGGCACTGCAGAAATAGATGTTATGAACCCAAACTCTGGTTTTGTAGCAATGTCTTTCCTTGCATTTGAAGTCATCTAACTCCGTGTGTGCTGCTCTCCCACCACCAGCAGCATGCCTGATGACACCTCAAACTCTTAGCTCTTCATGTCAGGGACATTCTCCTACACATTCACATAGTGCCTTGCACAGCAAGGCTTTGAGCTCAGTTGGAAGAAGAGAGTGCAGAAGAGCTCTCACCAGGAACAGCAGCAGCCGGGGAGTTAGCAAGCACATGATTCAATAATCTGAATTTTCACAGCTGTAAACCAAGCAGCGAGGTTTCCTCAGGCATTCCTCGTTTATTTACTAGCTGGAAGGCACTGGGCATGTCTTCAGTCTGACATTTCCAGTCAAGCTCCTGGGCTTTGAGGAGGCTAAGATGCACAACAGCTAGCATCCAGACTTGGGAAGACAGACTAACGTTTCAGATAAGACTATTAAAGCTGGTACAAAGCTGCAGTGCATGTGGGTAGAGAAAAAAAAAGTGGCTCTGAAATTCCCCATCAGCAGCCTTGTCTTTTTGTAGGCATGGTCCCTTCTGCCACGTGAGGCTTGTCATAGATAACAACTGGAATAACTGTCCAAAATATTTACCAATTTTCCAGCTTGCTATGAATATCTACAAGAGTACAGTCCACCAGAGAGTCTTCTACACTCAAATGGCCCAATCTGACCTACTTATATATTCTCCAATTCATGCCAGCTAAGCTCCAGAGCTGCCACTTTAGAAAAGAAAACCAAATTCCACTTTGTTTCCTCACGAGGCCCACAAATTATACTCTTAAATAAACAAAACATAGTTGGTTATTTTCGGACTGGAAGAAAAAAGGAAAAAAGCTGATGGTGGAAAGGCTCAGACAAAGAGGTTGCATACCTGCAATGCACAACAATGGGTCCTGCTTCTGGGGGACTGAGAAACTTCACTTGACGAACGAAGCCCAGGAGGCCGGTGGCATAGCAAGGAACCCCATGGTCCGGCCAGCTGGTGAAGTGGAACTGCCGAATCTCTCGGATCTCATGGTAGCCTTTCTGAGGAGACAACACAGCCTCTATTTTTCTTCCATCAGACTGCAATCAGCACATTCTGATCACTGCTCCTTTCCCTCATGCAGAGGGATGAACAAACATTTTGCTCTCGTTATACACGGGAACATGTCCTATGCTGCTTTTAACTCCAAGAGATTTAAAGCTGAACTCCAAGTACCAACAAAGTGGGTAACACACAGCTGAGGACTATGAAGGTGAAAGCCAGCTCCCAGTTCAAAACTGTGGTCTTAAGAGTTCAAATCCATCTGATTATCTCATCCAGGGATAGGGTTTAGAAGGCATGGTAGTGTTGAGTTGATGGTTGGACTGGACGATCTTAGAGGACTTTTCCAACCTCTATGATTCTGTGATTAGGAACTTAACTTAGATTTCAGCCCCAGCACACCACAGCTGCATTTACCCAGCCTCCTTTGGTGTTATTGCCATAAACCACCAATAAGTCACCCTTAAATCCTTTTTGAGGAGTTGAAGCAACAGCCTGGGGAATGAACACCTAGAGAGTAGGCATGCTCCAGGCAACAGCAGATTTTCTGCCAGCTCCTGCCAAAAAATTTCAGTTAGAGATTATAGCTGATGGTGAAAAGGGCAGAAACTGGTACCCAGACCCATCGCTTGGCTTTTCTGGTGAGACCAAGTTATTGGTACAAGAAAATTGACGCCACTTGTACATGCCCTGCAAAGGGTAACACAGAAGTGTCAGTGAGCATTTTACGGTACAGGAAATGTAGGTGGAATCCAGCAGCAGCTCTTCTAACCTGTCAGATTTTGGCATTAGCATTTCTCACCAAGTTTTCTCTGATTTTATGAAATATGGAGCTGATGTATTAGAAAACTGGAAAAATATTCCCTGTGTGGCTGAAGTTCATTTAGCAGGAATTTTTGAAAAGGTTTAAATCCACTTCCTGAATGTTCAGAGAGTAATTTGGACAGACCTAGAATATTCTGACACTTAGGCTTCCAATTTCTAATTACCAGTAACCAAAACCTTCCAGATCCTGTCGATAATTTTTCTTCTTTTGCTTTGATTATATTTTAATTTCTGTTGAAAGGGACCTTACCTGGCATCCAGTTTAACTTATACCTTTTTTCATCTGTAATTTGCCACTGTGGAACATGACAGTTATTGTTCCTGGCATCCCATCAACTATCTGCTGGCTCTTGTATGCATTTAAACTTCATGCACTACGGATTCTATTTTTGTGGCTACATCAAGACTTTAATTTAAAATCATTTGTCCAAAACTGGAATCTCCATCAAAAATTTAGGTTTCCGAAATGAAACCTGTCCAAATAGTAACGGTTCCCATCTCCAAGAGCATTCCAGATATGTTTCCCAGAGCTCACATTTCTGAACACATATTAAGTGTTGTATCAAAATTTCAGCTGATTGAGGATCTCCTTACCTTTTGTACAGTAAATGTGCGTATGACATACTCTGCCAATGGTTCTGTCTCAATTAATGTGACTTTAATATCTCCATAGACCTCTGTGTCATCTGGCCAGTATCGAACACACTTTACCTGGGGGAGGGAAAAAGAAAATATTGAGAGGAACTAGATCAAGTTGAGTCAGAGCTGACCTACATTTTACTCCACTTTCAAGCTGAAGCCAACGCAAATTGGGCTTTTTTCTGATGTCAAAACTAACTGTATAAATTAGATCAAAAATCATTTACCATATATAGAAACCACAGGGAGGATTTTTTTCAGTTTCCTCTATTGTGAATACAAATGAAAAAGATGCATTTAGGTCTTCTTTAAGATAGTCTTCTGTAAATTTCCATACATGCACTGACCATATATCAGGTTCACAGAATACCTGGCAGTCACTACCATGATCTCCTTTGAGAAAAATCTATGCTTTTATTATTACTACTGTAATTCTGAACTCTCCCTGTTTAGTCAAAGAATTTCAGTTCATAGGGATTGTGAGATACTTGTTGATACATTAAATTTGTTTGACGTTAAGCTTTCCTTATCAGATATGGACACAAATTTGACATTTTACCAGCTGTGACAGGTCTCAGCCAAGGCTCAAGAAAGAAATCTCCTGATCACGTCAATATATTCCAAGCTTAGCCACTTCAAGAAGCCATGTGCAAAACTAATAGTAGAAATTAAAGCCAAGGCTGTGAAGCTCTAGAAGGGATATTTAAGTTAACAAAGTCTATCAAGTTATTAAATGCTCTAGCATGAAAGAGTGGAACAGCACCTAAAAGCTGAAGCAATTAGCTACTGTGAAGCAGGTTGCATGTTCCAGTTCCAGTCATAATTGGCAGGGGTTTTATAAATATTAAATATGATTAATGTAGGTTTGTTGGGTTTTGTTTTTTGTTTTTTTTTACACAGAGGCATTTATTTCAAACTGAAGTGTCAGTAGAAGGTAAAATAGAATAAATAACAATTAATGAACAGAATCAGCTGGCATTCAACCATGAGATCTAAAGGAAATCAAATACAAAGCAGCTGAATTACTAATGGCTGTGAGCAAACTATCATTTAAATTTTTTTTTAGTACCAAAGGAATGGGAGGTGACAAACATCAGGACAAAATTTTTAAGAACTCAAGTTTCTGGCTGAAAATACCTCTAAACCAAAGACCACCAGGAGTGGGAAGAATATGCTGGAGAAAGCCACCCCACACATGCCTTTTTCTTCTTTCCTAAAGTCTAACCTACACCTTTTGAGTTATTCATGTTTGCTCCCATCGTGGGCTTTGGCAATTGCCTTCTGCTGACACAGGGATTTCTGGTTCATCTGAGCCCATGAGAGTGAAGTGGAGAGTGCTGAGGAGGCCAACGCTGCTGGGTGGCCCCACCATCCAGCTGTGCACAATCTCATACCACCACAGAACAGCGGTGATCTGAAGTGATTGGGCACTCTAGGCTTTGAACTGCCATTTAAAGAGCTCTTTTGATCGTTTGAACACCAGTCACATGTTCTTGCCCCTCCGGATTTTTGTGGGTAGAGAAATATTCAAATAATACAGATAAAGAGTAATTATTACAGAATTACATTTTTTCCTTCTGTACTGAAAAAGGATCCAGCTTCTCAGTCAGCATAAATTTGTGTAACTCTGCTACAGCAGAGACTTACACCAGGAGCAAGATCCTTATTAGTCTGAAAGGGAAGCAGCTAAGTATTACAAAAGCTAACATTTTAGAGAAAAACTCGGAATGGCTTAATACATTCCCTTACTACAGTAATCAAAAGGCATTTCACTTGCTCAGCTTGCCTGAACAGCAGCACTGTGTTACACCCAGCGCTGGTTTGGCTTTCTATGTTGGGAAAGTGGTACCCTTACCCTGCCCACTTCCACCAAGTTGGTGACCATGACAACACTTGCAGAGTTTTCTTGCCAAATCATTCTCCAGAAATCCTTCACTGTCTCTTGCATCGGCCCTGGGGCAGGAGAAAAGACAAAAAGACATCTTAAGAGAGTGTCTTGAATGCCAACAACTCTTTTCAGCTGTTCCCCAGTCATTGCCCTGTTCCCACAGGATCCTACTCTCCCTTTCAGAGCATCCCACTGCGATTCAGGGTTACAGACACAGAACTGCCTCGAGCTCTCTGAGAGATCAGACACCTCCTCCTTCCTGGCAGGGGGTGTTTAAGGTTCTAGCACCCTGGAAAGCGAGGTGCTGCCTGTATTGTAGATAGTGGAGAGAGTTCCAGTAGGTTATCATGTGTGAGTGATGGGACATGGATGCACCCTATAGTGAGTCTGTAATTAAGGTTGTATTGGAAGTTGTACTTGATGGAGCACTAAAATTCCTCCATTTCACACTTTATTAATTATGAAGGAGGAAGGAAGCCTTTTTCTGAAGTTCCCTCAGAGAGAAAAAATTCAGGTTCCAACTGCCAAACAGCCAGTGCTCTCAAGGGGTTTATCAGACTAAAGTGTTTCTCTGACCTTGTTTCCTTCCTCTCTTCTACACTGTAGACAAAATCCTCCTACAGACACCTTTCACCCACCCTGCCCATACTCCATCCCCCTTGTTCTCTGCCTTCCTGCACTCCCTATACCAATACATCCTCAGATATCAGTTTTACTTTAATATGTTTTTTTACCCTTTCAATAGGGACAAGCCAGTGAGGAAGTAATAAAGTAGAATTTAAGAAGAGAGTAATTTCTATGAACATTGAATTTTCAGGTAAGGAATGCACAAAAATGAGGACAAATAATGGTAAACAGGTCATGGCATAAGAATTTGGCCAATGATGCAGGAAAACAGCACCCTGCTGTAGAGAACAGGAGTAGAGAGGTTAGTCATCTAGCATGGATAGCCCTCAGTATTGAATTGTGTTGGGTTTTAGGTTTGGTTTTGTTTTGTTTTGTTTTGTTTTTCCCCTGCCCCCCCCTCCAACATACAGGAAACTCATCAACTAATTTCCAGAAGGTGGTGTTCAAATGCATTACATACTAGTTCCCAGTAAACAAAAGTTCGTCAGTCAAAGGCTTATTCATCCTGCTCTCCTTAAGCAAATGCAAACCAGAAGGCAAAACCCAAGATCTGTAAAGTCCCTTTTAGTTCTAATCTCATACTCATGCACAAAGGACACCTTATAGGTTTTATTGCCACCTGTAAGTCTGTAGCTTTTTTATTCCTGTAGTTGAGGTTTTGCTTTTGAGTGCCTTAAAAGTCTTGGAACATCCTATATCCATCCCTTTTGCGGCGCTATACCAAGCTTTCAGATGTTCCCCAAAACAGAGGACGTCAACCTATAAACAGCTTTTACAACAGTTTAAAACAGCAGTGGGGTTTACAAATATTTAGACATACAAGAATGAACTTGCCTTGAGTTGCAATGTAATGGCGAGGCCGGTGGTACCCCTGGAAAAAAAAAGAAAATAGGTGATGGTCTGTAAGATCCCAGTTCTGGTAAAGCACACCAAGCATTGGTGTGGTCTGGGTTGGAAGGGACCATTTGGGAATGGTTTGGGTTGGAAGGGACCTTAAAGATCATCTAGTTCCAACGCCCCTGCCATCAGCTGGGACACCTTCCACTAGACCAGGTTGCTCAAAGCCTCATCCAACCTGGCCTTCAACACTTCCAGGGAGGGGGCATCCACAACTTCCTTGGGCAACCTGTTCTAGTGTCTCACCACCCTCACAGTGAAGAATTTCTTCCTAATATCTAATCTAAACCTCCCCTCTTTCAGTTTAAACCCATTTCCCCTTGTTCTATCACTAACTGCCCTTATGAAAAGTCCCTCTCCAGCCTTCCTGGAGCCCCTTCAGGTACTGGGAGGCCGCTAGAAGGTCTCCTTGGAGCCTTCTCTTCTCCAGGCTGAACAGCCCCAACTCTTTCAGCCTGTCTTCATAGGAGAGGTGCTCCAGCCCTCGGATCATCCTGGTGGTCTCCTCTGGACTTGTTCTAACTGCTCCATGTCTTTCTTATGTTGGGGGCTCCAGAACTGGACGCAGTACTCAGGTGGGGCCTTACGAGAGTGGAGTAGAGGGGCAGAATCCCCTCCCTCGACCTGCTGCCCACGCTGCTCTGGGTGCAGCCCAGGACACGGTTATTGACCTCTGTGCTGCCAGCGCACATTGTCTGCTCATGTTCAGCTTCCCATTCACCACCACTCCCAAGTTCTTCTCTTCAGAGCTGCTCTTATGCCAAAGAGCAAACAGAAATGGGGCAGTTTTCACTATTTCCTCCAAGAAACAGAGGTCCTGTGACTAACCTGTGGGCAACTCTGAAATCTAACAGGCAAAACGCTGCACCCTTTTGTTTGAAAAACTAGAAAGGTGTGAATTTGCCTCTGTATGAAAATGCTGCTTATCAGTCTTGTGTAACTTTATTAAGTGTATTTTTCATCCCTTAAAGAAACTCTTCTGAGCACTGGCACGTTCTGAAGATTTAGGAGATGCCTACAAGAAATGTGTGTCCGTTTAATCATTCTGTGCATGAAAGGGATGCTGCTTTTTGAAAGTTATTTTACAACACTAAAAAAAAACCCCAAAACAACCATGACAATTTATTTACACTCCTTCTGCACTGCAATTCTGTAAGAAGTCAGTAACTCTCAGATATCTACTCATGCTTTGCAAGAGGCTGATATTGATTTCTGCATGTTATTTAGCCCACATTCCACTTATGTTGGTGGATCTGTCAAACACAGGAAATCTCCATCTGTCCAGATTGGTCAGACAGAATAAACTGGAGACCGAGAACCTTCTCCCTGTCACAACATGATGTTTGTATAATGTTCAGCTGTCACTCCTATCAGATCAACAGTCTGTCCCTATGTAAGATGCACCAAATTCATAAGCAGCCTTGTCAGCAGGAGTACTGTCATAGAGGGAATGTCCAGGAGCCTTACGTCGATGTAATTTGCATTGATGTAGTCAGAGTGAGGGTCCCCATCCAACAGCTGCAACCTCACTCTTGAATGATCATCTGAAAGAAGGAAAGAAAAAAAGTGACAGTAACAATAAAGAGGAGTTTCTAAATGTTTAATTTTATCTGCTGATTCCTGCGAGTGGGAAATTGAATACTTACAATAATTAAAAAATGAGTATCAGAGGTATGCCTGTTCCTACAAGCCTTTCTTTTCTGTTTTGATATAGTGTTGAGATCCTTAGGTTAGTGTTCGTCAAATTCACTGCTGTCACCATAGTTGTTATAGAGCTTTTGCACAGACCACAAACGTTGGTTGGTTTGGGGGTCCTGGGCCAGATCTTTGCAGGATGTATCTCCACTACAAAAGCCTTCTGTACACTTGGAAGTAACAGCCTCCCTGGCTTCACCTGACCTATGAAAACTGAGGCAAGAGCTAAAACTGTCAAGATCAGGATAAAAAGAAATAGGTCATGACAGAGGTGTAAAAGATTAAGGAGGGTGAAATGCCAAATGAAATCCTGCAAATAAGAAATGGGACAGCCCAGAAACCTGAAAGGAAATACTAAAGGAAATCAGAGCAATGTTCCTTCATGCAACCCACAGACCTCATGGCAGAAAAACAGCATCAAGGCAAAGTGTTAAAAAAAAAAAAAAAAAAAAAAAAAAAAAAAAAAAAAAAAGAGAGAAATGTTCATGTTTCTGAGGACATTCAAAGTTACTCCAGATAAGGCACTAAACTAACCGATATCGATCCTTTCATCTCCCAGCATGGTCTACAGTTCAGATGCAGAAAGGCACTGCCCCAGCAGGCAGATTATGTCATGATTTTCCACCAAGGGAATATTTTGATCTTTCTCTGGAGCAGGTGGTGCTGGGCTCTGTCAGAGGAGATCCTCCGTGAGCTGGGCTGTTGAGCTGATGTGGTCTGGCAATCCCAGCACTGGTATGCAATTAATTGCAGAACTGCTATCTAAGGGCCAGTTGCTTGGCAAAGGCTACTGGGTTACAGAGGTCACTGCAGCCCATGCTGGGCTCATTTCTAAAGGATTTTTTTAAAAGAATGATAATATAGAGCCCACTAAGTTTATTCACTCTCTACTAGCTATGTAGACCCTAGCTCTCAGTCAGTAAGTGTTAATGTTTAGAAACAGTTTGTAAAATATGGGCCTAAGCATGATTTACATTCAATTAAAAAGAATCACAGCAATGAAACATAAAAATAC